CAAACACAGCCTAGAAATAACAAACTGAGGTAATCATTAATTTGCCACTTTTAATTGTGTGAACTAGACTTGTTATATAGCAAAATCTAAAACAAATCAGAAAATTATACGTGGTAAATAAGCCCTCAATATGCCAATTTTACCCTCAGGAGAAAAAATTTAAAAGGAGTTAGGGGGAAAATAGAGAAATAGAAGAAGAGGAAGAAATTAGAAGCAAGGCTGGAGGACAAAGTAGGATCATGCCAACTTTGGGAAAGTAGTACACAGGACAGGAGGGAAAGAGAGAAGGAAGAAATAAAAGGAAGAAAAAACAGAACAACCACCACAATAGCAAAAAAACCTTAGAAACTATGTCCACACTCATATAAAAACAAGTTCAAACAACGAAGGGAAAAAAAACCCAAGGGTTTTTTCAAAGTTTGTTTCTGTTGTCACTGAGAGACAGCATGGAGACAGAGTACAAATCTGTGAACTGCAAGGCAGCAGTTGCTTTATGTTGAGTAGTGGATAATGCCAGCAAGCCTGAAGTTGAGGCTGGTTTCTGGCCATGAGGCTGAGACCAGACCTGTTGAGCCTGTAGCTATCAGTGAAACTTCTGCGGGCTTGTTCTAACCTGGGAGCCAGTAGATGGACCCAGCAGTTCTGAGTTCCAAGCTCAGTTGGCCCCTCTCCAAGATGGCTCCCAGCCAATTGACCTCTCCTGCAGGACATCAAATCCTGCAGCACTGACCACCAGCCAGTGTAGTCTTGCATACCCTTCCACCGCTTCCTCTCTGGATGGACACCTGTAGGGTTGCCAGTATTCACTGTGTATCTTCAGTTTGAACTGCTTCTCCCACACAGTGAGTCCTGACTCAGGGGAAAGGCACAGCTACTTTTTATGTTGAAGTTTCTGTGTTCACTCTGCATGGGCTTCAATTATTGCTTCAGATCCCTTCCTGAGCCCAAAAGACCCACTTCCCTCCTTCTTCCCTTCCTCATTTTTCTATATTCCAGTGTCTAGATGGCACATCTCAGAGGCTGTTTTTCACCGCTTACCACTCTGCTATCTTCCCTGAAGTCTTCTTGCAAGATCATTTTATCCTTCTTAGTTTACACATGTTGAACCATCCTGGCATCCATGGGATGATGCCAATTTGGTCATGATGTATGATCTTTTTAGTGATTTATTGTATGCTGTTAACAAGTGCAATATCTTGTTGAGGATTTTTGCACCTATGTTCATTAAAGAAATTGGTCTGTAGTTTTCTTTTTTTGTTAGGTACTATTCTGGTTTTGGTATCAGGGTAATGCTAGCTCCAAGGACTGAGTTTGGCAGTGTTCTTTCCTTTTCTATAAGTGTTTAAGGAGTGCTGAGGTTAGTTCGTCTTTGACTTTCTTATAAAATTCAATGGTGAATCCCTTGAGTCCTGGGCTTTTCCTACTGGGTTTTTTATTTTTGCTTCAATTAATTTGTGTTTATATACTCCTGGTTCAGTTTTGGTAATTCATGTGTCTAGAAACCTAGCCATCTCTTCTAGATTTCTGTGTCCAATCTATTAAAATACAGATTTTCCAGATAAATACAATCCTCTGTATTTAAGCAGTGTTCTTTATGGTTTCATTTCAAATTGCATTGATATGGATTCTTCCTTCCTTATGCCAGTTTTTGATTTGGATTTTGTTCTTGTTTTTCAGAGACGTTCAAGTACCTCATTCTGTTATATGGGATTGCTTTGTTTTTATTATGTGGGCATTCATGGCTATGAACTTTCCTGTTGGGATTGCCTTCATTGTGTTCCATAGGTTCGAAAATGTTTTACAGTCATTTTTATTTGATTCTAATATGTTTTATTTTCTTTTTTGATATCTGCTGTGATTATTTAAGAGTGCTTATTTAATCTCCATGTGGTTTTAAAAAATTTCTGTAGTCTCTTGTCATCCATTTCTATTTTCATTGTGATATGATTTGATAACATATATGAAATTTTTTTCAATTTTTTGTATTTATTTAAACCTGCTGTATGGCCTAGTATGTGCTCTAAGGAACCTATAACTGTTATATAGGTTCCTTAGAAAAATGTGAATTTTTTATTAGTTTGAACACTCTTTAGATATGTATTTGTTAAGTCCATTCATTTGAAGGTGTGATTAAACTCTTATTTACTTGCTTATTGTTTTTGTCTAGTTGATCTCTTTGTGATAGTGGGTACTGTGATTGTGTTGGTATTTGAGTGATCAGTGGTATTCTTTTTATGAAGTTGACTATGCAGTATTTGGCATGTATATTTTTACAGTTATCTCATCTTGTTAAGTTGTTCCTTTTACAAAACTGAACAGAATGTGGCTTGCAACAGGGAGCCAGGTCAACAGTCCGTCCAGACCCCAAGCCTCCTCCCACAAGCAGGCAGTTGAACAAATCACAGGGGAACACCAGCACAGAGACCTGCGGGAGCAGGCTATGGACTGAGAGGAGGGGAGGAGAAGCACTCAGGCCACAATGATACTCTAAGGAGGACAGAGGGGGAGGAAAGAGCCAGACCCAAATGTCCATCCTTACCTCCCTGCAGGTCAAAGCTTCCCCACTTGTGATGTGGGGAAAGAGCTCACTGGCTGAATGCAGACTCTCATATATGTAGCACAGTGGGAATGCTTTAATTCGGTGTTCTTGCAACTGTATGGAGTTGTTCTGTGTGTGTGTGTGTGTGTGTGTGTGTGTGTGTGTGTGTGTGTCTTTTTGTTTTTTAGGCTTTTTTGTTATTACTGTTTTTTTCCTCTTTATCCTGATTAGTGCTGATTAAATGATAATATGCATTTTTACGTGTACTTGTTGGCCATTTGTGTATCTTATTTAGAGAAAAGCCCATTCATATCTTCTGTTCATTTTAAAATATTTTTTTGCTGTTGAGTTATAGTTCATTTTACATTTTGAATATTAAACACTGACCAAATACACAATTTACAATATTTCTTACTCTGTAGGTTGCCTCTTTGCTCTGTTAACTTTGTCCTTTGAGGCACAGAATTGCTTTATTTTGATGTAATTCAATTTATCTATTTTTACTTTGGTTATTTGTGCTTTTAGTATCATAGTCAAGAAATCACTGCCAATTCTAATGCATGATGATTTTTTTCTCTATGTTTTTTTCTGAGAATTTTATGGTTTTAGCTTTTTGGTTTACATTTTGTTCCTTTGTGAGTTACTCTTTGATATATGGAAAAAGTGGGGTCCATCTTCATTCTTCTATGTGTGGATGTCAGGTTTTCCCAATGCCATTTGATTGGTCTTGGCACCCTTATGAAAAATTGTTTGTGTGTTTATATAATATATAAGGATTTTTTTGTATTTTATTTCACGACCTCTGTATGTTTGTATTTGTCATTATGCCACTGTTTTAATTACTGTGGCTTTGTATTGCACATCAGCATGGAAATATAAGAGTTCCAACTTTATTTTTTTATTTATTGTACAGTTGGGTGGTCATTCAGGGTCCCTTGAGATTCCATATGAATTTCAGAATAGATTTTTTTTTCTGCAAAAATCATTGGGTTTATCATGAAGTTTGCTTTAAATCAGAAGATTGCTTTGGATAGTACTGATACCTGTCCTAGTCTGTTTTATGCTGTTATAACAGAATACTTGAGCCTAGAAAATTTATAAAGACAAGAAACTTCTTTCTCATAGTTTTAGAAGTTCATAAATCTGAGGTCAAAGCATTAACCAAATCTGAGGGCTTTCTTGCTGTGTTAAAACATGGTGGAACATGGTATGGCAGAGAGCCAATACTGCATCCTCACGTAGCAGAAGAGCAGAGCAAGCTAGATGAATGCTGTACGCAGCCTCTTTTAATGACCCATTTGGTTTAACCACTCTTAAAGCCCTGCCTTTTTATACAGCTGTGTGAACAACTCCTGAATTTTGAAAAACACACATTTAAACCACAGCAGCGTAGTAGCCTTTCAGTCCATGAACTGGACTGGATGTCTTTCTGTTTGTGTCTTCTTTAATTTCAGTAACATTTTGTCATTTTTACTGTTTTTTTTCACCACCTTGATTATTTCTAGTACTTTTTGATGCTACTATAAATAATTTCTACATTTAGATGCTTTAATTTTTTTCTTTTACATTTAATTCATTTGGGATATATTTTACTTTATGGTGAGAAGTAAGCCATTATCTTTTAAATTTTTTGGGCCAGGGATATAGCTCAGCAGCATAGCTCCTGCCTGGAAAACACGAGATCATGAGTTCAATCCCTGGTACCAAAAAGAAAAAAAAATAGTAGTATAGGACTGGGGATATAGCTCAGCAGCACAAGTGCCTGCCTGGCAGGTACAAGGTCCTGAGTTTGATTCCTGGTACCAAAAAGTAAATAGATTTTCCAAATAGTAGAACAGTCACAGTACCATTTATTAAGTAATATTTTTATTTTTCACAGATTTTTGATAGTCTAGTCATCATATAGTAAATCCCCCTCCCCATTTTTTTTGTCTTTTTGAGACAAGGTCTCACTATACAGTTCTGGCTGACCTTGAACTCACTTTGTAGCCCAGGCCAGCCTCAAACTCCCAAGCAGTCCTGCCTTAGCCTCCCAAGTGTTGGAATTACAGAATAATGCCATCATGCATGGTTTAAATTCCGATTTTTAACCAGTTTTTTTTCCCCTCATTTATCTATACTGTATCAGTCGTTTGTCCATTCTTGTGTTCCTCCTAGAATCGGGTGCAGTTAGAATCCAATCCTGGGAATGGCCAGGCAGCTGGTATTATATAATAGAAGGCTGCAGCCAAGCCATGTTACTCTTTGCCTTCTTGTCTTTTTCCATAGTGTTTGGCCTTTTTACTTTCCATGTTTGCCATCTGAAAAACAAGTGATTGATTCTTGTTAGGTTCATTAGCTTCCTTAGGGTCAGCTACATTTACATTATTTTTGCTTTGAAGAATAGCTGTATTAACCTGGAGCTTGGTGAGTCTTATAGCAGCTTAAGCCTTCTAAGCATTATTCTCGTTTCTTCTGCCAGATATTCGTTGGTTTATTGGTGTGCCTCTTGTTTCCTTGGGCTTGAAGACGGTGAAGCAACCGGTATATGTAAGTACCTGGAGAATTTAGGTTTGGGTGATCATTTTATTCCACTACTTCATTCTTAATGCTTCATCATGTTCTTCTTTTTCTATGTATTCCATCTTGTCACTTCTCAGTTTATATAAGAGGTGTGAGTGTTCTCTGCATCTTTTTTTCACTTGCTTATTCATTTAAGAAAGCTTTATTAAGCCTTTAATGTATAAGGCACACTGTTTGTGTAGAAACAATAACTAGATAAACCCAGTTGCTGTCTGCACATTGTTCTCCAGCAGGGGCAGGTAAGTAAGACAGTTATCAGACAGCATGATAGGTGCTGTCATAGGCAGAGGGTCTTACATAATACACCAGAGCGGCACCTAATGCCGGCTTGGGCCTCAGAAGAAAAGTGGCTAGCAGTAAGTCATATGTGGGAAGCTGGGAAATAGTTTTTATTTCAGCAGAGGGAACAGTACATACAGGGGCTCAAAATGAAGAAGCATGTTGGATTCCTTTCTAGAGTGAACCACAGTTTCCTCACTGGCAGTACTGTTGACACTAGGACCTAGGTGATTCCTTGTTGTGGCCTCTATTGCAGGGTAATGAACAGTTTCTGTCGGTTAGCCATTAGATGCTAGAAAGCCTACCCTCCATCCTCCAGTCATAACAGCTAAACAGACAGATGTCCTTTATGGTCCAGAATCTTCCCTGATTAAGAACGATGGGCCTAAAACTTATAAAATTATTATTTTTGAAAGTTAGTGTAGTAGGGGCTGGAGATTTAGCTCAGCGGCATAAGCACCTGCCTTGCAAACAGGCGGTCATGAGTTTGATCCCTGGTACTGATTAAAAAAAAAAAGAAAGTCAGTGTAGTAGAAGATAGCAGTTCAGTCTGTTGTGGTTCTGCCTGGTAGTTTGTGATGGGAGGAGTGATACAAGAAGAGATTGGTGACATGGGGCGAAAGAGAGTCAGACATCTGAAGATAAATGTGTCTGACTAGAGAAAACCCTTAGGTGAGCGTTGATGGGGGTGGGGAGGTTGGGAGTATTTGAGCTTTCGAGGAGATTGGTTATTTTAATTTTGTTATATTTTTGTTGTGATTAGGGTTGCCTGCTTTCCTTTTTCCCTTTGCTCCCCTCTCCTGCTCTCTCTTCCCCTTCTTCTTATCTTCCTTTTCCTCTCCCTTCTTCACTTATTTAAACGTAAGTTTAATTTCTGTAGGTTGTTGATGTAGCAAAAGGAATTATTAATGCAGTTAAAGATCCAGATGCCAAGGGAAAAACCTTCGCCTTCGTTGGGTGAGTGCCTAGAGTTTGAATTTAATGAAAAAATCATGGTTTGACCAACAATTTCTAACCAAGTCTCTAACAGATTTATTTGTTACGTTTTTACCATCTTATGCCAAGTGCCTTAGAACATCTGAAGAGGAAATAAATTACCTACAGTTCATTTACCTGTGATACAGGTTTTGTCTGCATTTTAAAATTAGAATTTGTTCTTGGACTAGCATGTGTCCTGTGTCCTGCAGTGATCCTTGCAGATCTTTCTGGGATTTCAAGGAAGCTGTTTAACGACATTGTATGATATTTCCCCTATCTGATATTGACATTTTCATGGGTTTATTTTCTCTTTGATAAAAATATGTCACAGTGATGAGGTTCTCATTGATTATCTTCATTCAGCTCTCAATAATCATAGATTTTCTGAAGCAAGACAGGTTAGGAAAATTGGGGTGATATTAAGATGTGTTATAGGTGATGGTAATTATTAAAGCTAGGTTTGACTGGCAAAAACAGTTCAGATCCATGGAATAGAAGAGAAATAGTCCCGAGTATACATAAGAAAATACTACATGTTACGGGTGACATTTTTAGTACAAGGGAAAAGGCTGATTCAGTAAGTAGTGTTGAAACTGCTGGCTAACATGTTGGGAAAAATTCAGTGACTTCTTTACCTTGTTATGTAGAAAAGTATGTCACAGAAGGGACTTATGGTTTAAAAAATATCTTAGACAAAATATATGGAAATTTATGCCTCTATGAAGGGATTTTCTAAATACGAAACCAAACCATAAAGGAAAAATCATTACTTATGATTAAATAAAATGTTTAAGCTTTTATGTTATACAAAACACCAGAAACAATATTAAGACAAAATATACTTGTAGGGAAAAAGAGATATGTGTGCATGGCCAAAAATATGTGAAGAAAATTAATCTTAGATGTTAAAGAAATGCCAGTTAAAAGAGAAGCACCCTTCTTTCCTAGCAGATTGGCAGATTTTTACAATTAAACTTCTTTTTGGTGAGGTGTATTCTTATTAGTGTTTTGTATAAATTGATGTAACCATTTTATAAGAGATGCTTTAAATTTTCAAAATATACTTTGATCTAGTCCCATTTCTAGAGATACATTCTAAATACATGATCATGGATATGTATACAAATATTCACTGTAGAAATGTTCATTGAAAAAGTATTTTGCAAAAGAGGATTTTAATTAGCTTAAATTTCTAAAACTGGGAAGATAATTTTGCTTATGTACAGTGCAGTCATTAAACATGTAGTAGACTAGTGACATAAAAAGATGAAATGGTGTACTGTTAATTTAAAAAAGTGATTGCATAGATGGTATTGTATCAAAGAAGAAAAAATAGAAATATGTTAGGGAATGAAAATGACATATGTCAAATTTATTAACTTCATGTTTGGTAGACGGATAGATTATGGGTGATATGTCTTTGTGCTGATCTGTTTTTGGTATAGTATATATATTTTTCTTTTTCATAAGAAAAATGTGATTTTTTTAAATTAAAAATTTGTTAGGAGCAACTACTATAATTTGAACAACTACATGTTTTTTTTTTTTTTTTTTTCCCCAGGCCTAATCGGTACCTCCTCTTTGACCTCATGCAGTACATCTTTGCTGTGTCTTACAGACCCTTTTTTCCATACCCTGTTCCTCATTTTGCCTATCGGTAAGTAAGTGCTCCTTTTCTGCACTCTCTGAAAACAGCTAACGTGATATACTCATTTCTGGTGCGCTTCCTAGGGTAATGGGAAGCATGTTCCTTGTAATGCAGAGCAATCTGCAGACTTTGAGGAGAGTTGCTCCTGTCCTGGTATGAGCCAAGGGAAGAGGCAGAGGTGTCTATGAAATGAAGATGTAGATTAGTGTGGATAGAATAAAGTCTTTGTTGGGTAGGTCTTCCTGTTCTCCGGTTAAAAACCACAGGGTTGAGTTGGGGGTATGGCTTGGTGGTGGAGTGCTTGCTTAGCATGTCCAAGGCCTTGTTCCATCTCCAGCGCATAAAGAACAAATAACAACTAAAACAGAATACAAAGAATCCAGAGTTTTAATGTGGAAAAGTATCTTGCTTGGCACATTGTGTAATGGAGTAATCAGATTGCCCTGTTTCCTGCTTCTTGTTCACAGGTGGGAAAGGCTGCCTTTTTTATTAAATCAGTTTGCTCATAGAAATGAGCAAGGCTGATTCAGACTTGGCCTTGTTGTAATCTTCTTTTCTTTTCATGTTTTTTGTTCAGTTATTCCCTTTGTAAGTGGCTTGAAAATCTTGGGCCTATCAAATCACACCCTAGTGGCTGAATAGGGAAATTTTCAAGTCCGCTATGCTAGAGTGATTTTTAGCCAATATGACAATGTACTTCTTATTTATTCATATAACAAATATTTACTGAATTCCTGCTGTATCTTAGGCAGTCCGCTAGGTACTTAGGATGCTACAGTAAACCCTCAGAAAACTTACAGTCTGTGGTGGTATTAGGAGAATAGTCAAGGGAGATGGAGGAGAGCTTGTGCTTAGTACACATGAGGTTAGGTCAGACCTCAGCACAAATAAAACAAAACACATACAGAATCTGATGTGATGGCAGTTATTGGGAATAGTCTGTTTTCCAGGCTTTTTTTTTTTTTTTTTTGTCTATTTGTTCAAGGTATAAGGGAGTTAAAAAAGAGGCCATGGAAGCCTGAAGCTCTACTTTTTCCAGCAGAGTAAGAGAAATTTAGTAAGGAGGATAAAGACTTAAGTGTCCAATGAAGAGTCTTTGGAAACATAGATACTAAAGGAAAGGAAAGTTTGAAGGACAATGAGTATTTATTGAAGGGGAACCTTGGGATTTTGTTCACCTCTGCATCTCCAGAATGGTACCTGGCATAGAGTAAAAGCTTTGTTGATATTTCTGGACTGCAATGCTGCAGAAAAATCAAATAAGATAAAGGGCCCAGAGATAACCACTAAGGTTGAAAAAGGTCATTTGAACAGGAGTTTTAAGGTAACAGAACAGCTATAAACCAGGTTGTAGTGAGCCATCTTCATGGTTATGCATAAAACTGAGTTAAAGTTGGGGTTGGAATGTGCATGCCACAAGGACCACGCAAAACATTGTATTAGACCAGAGTTGATTTACTAGGTAGAAACAGAGCATAGAGAGTTGGAGGCTCGTAAGGAATAATTATTTATTTTTTAATTTTGTTTTATTAAAAGTTATATTGACCCAGTAAGTCAACTTGTTTGGCCTTTGGGACAGGTTGCCTGGAATTGGAGATTTTGTATGTTATTAGAGAAAGTCTGACCAGACTTAGGCTTCCTTTTTCATTTATTTTTTTCCATGGAAGTGATGCTTTGTGAACTTTTACAAAGCTGTGGGCTCCTCCATTTTCTGAGTTCTTGAGGTTAGAGGCATGTGAGGTCAGTGGATTGAAAGCAGAGCTCCTCTGGCTATGGTGATGGTAGTGCTCAGAGCTCAGACTTCCTGCCTGGGTCTTGGGCTCTATGGTGGCCAAGGATTCTTGCACTCCTTGGCTTCTGGTTGAAAATACACCACCCCAAGGCTACTTGAGACCTGTCACTGTCCCTGGCCCCATGGACAAGGCAGTGATGGAGCCTGGGAGCCTCCATTTGGACTTGGCATTCTTTTCTTGACCTGAATGATGGACCTTCAGTTTCTCTTGACACTGGAGTTTGGTTTCCAGGCATGGATGCTTTTTGGAGATCATACTTTATATTTTGCATACTGTTCGGCTTACCCTGCATCCTAAGTAACAGCATATTTGAATGTGTCAGGGTTATATTAGATTAAATTTCAAAGACTTGGTTGAATGTTGAATTGTTTTGGGTTTGCTTTGATGTTTGTTGGTGATATTTCATTTTGGGGGGTGTTGTTTGTTTGTTTTTAAAGTTTAGTTTTGAAGATGAGTTCTCAGTTCCACTCACCAGCTGGGTTGTCTTGAAAGGAAACGGACTTGGTGGCCTCACAGGTAGTAGAGCCAGGGTCGTCTTTAAAAAAAAAAAAAAGAAAAACACAACAAGACATGGTGGCACACACCTATAATCCCAGCACTTGAAAGGCTGGGGAAGGAGGATCGCCCGCCATGAGTTTAAAGCCCGGTGGCCTACACAGTGAATTCAAGGCCAGCCTGAACTGCATAATGAGATCCTGTCTTTAAAAGAAAAAACAGAAAAATAAAATCAGTGAATTCCAGCCTCTTCAGCAGTCCCTTTCCTATGGGTCTTACAGGCTGGCTAAGTATTTGGCATCATGACGCATATCACATGGTACCATGTTACTCCTTTTTCCAGATGGTTGGCAAGGCTCTTTGAGATGAGCCCATTTGAGCCCTGGACAACGAGAGATAAAGTAGAGCGGGTGAGTCTGGTGTGGGGAGCACAGTGGAATGCTGTGTTCTCAGCTGCTCCTTTATCTTCTCTCCAGTCGATCATGCCAGTTATCATATGCACAGGCCTAGTAGTCCCTCCCACCCCTTCTTATTAGAGGCCAGCCTCTCTCCTTCCATGTCCCTCTAGCCACTTTTGTATTTGTCTATTCCTTTATACCCTAAGCTTACAAGAGCTGTGTGCTATTGACAATTTCTCACCCCGTTCTTCCTTTAACCCACTTCAGTCAGTTCGCTTTTCTGCCCTAACACTGGTTTTTCTAAGGTCTCCCATAATTTCCATGCTGACAAATCTAAACATCTGATCTCTTTTCCCTTCATCTGTGGGTAGCACTGGTTAGTGGGTACCCTTCTCATATTTTTGACACCCTTCTTTCACCCACATTCAGGCCCAATCCACACCCTCTTGTTTCCCCTCCTCTCACTGCTAAGGGCGTGCCGTTAAAGCTCCTTCTCTGCCTTGCCCTCTTCTTCCCACTTTCTGTGTGATGAGGGATTCCAACACTCTGCTCTCAGCCTTTCCTTTCTGTCTGTACCATTTTCTAAATGATGCTCATTCATCCTAGGCTGCGGCTGTGCACTGTGGATATCATAGGTGCATTTTTCTCTATAGCCCTGACTCTCCTTCCTGAGTTTTTTGAGGTACACAGAACTGGATCTACACCAGTATAGCTGGCCCTATATTTAATGAGTTTTATAGGTTGTGGTTTTCTAAAATATAACATATGCATCAACAAAATTACAGACCTTTTCCTCTAAGTGCTCTCATTTCAGTGATAGTCCTGTTCTCCACAGCTCATGCTAAAAGTGCAGGAATGCCCCTGATGTTTTTGTTGTTCATTCTAGATCTAAATCAGCCCTGCACAGCAGCTCTCTGCAGGAATGGAAATGCTCCATGTCTGTACACATGTGTATCCACCAACATCCTGTGACTGGAGCATATCACAATATGTGGCTGGTATGATTGCAGATATACAGTTTGCATTTTATTTAAATTAATTTGAACTTAAATATAAATCACCACATGTGGCTTCCATATTGGACGGCATAGAGATAGACCATTAGCTCTCAAAGTAGAGACCAGATCTCACCACTCCTCCCTAATCATATTGTGAAAATATTTATAATAATACTGGAAGTTTTCAGCTTACAGGAAGCAGAATACACAGTGTCCTCTCCTCCAGTTCAGGCACCTTCCTCTCTTAGCTCCTTTCTTGCCTCAACTCTTATGCCTGCAGTGAGCTGAATTGCAGCACCCTACGTCCTCTTTCCCTACTGTCTTATGCTCATCTAAGTCATTGATTATTTGCCCCCTGCATATACAGGTGCTTTTAGGGAGGGTGCTAAATAAAATGACCATATGAACCATCCATACCTGTGGAGCCATGACTGGAGGCAGCCAAATATCCCTGAGTGTTACTGGAAGCTAAAGTGCAAAGCAGCTGGGGAAACAGTCATTAGGGAACAGAAAGCTGTCATTCCTCCTCTGAAACCTTCCCCACAGTGTCCCTTCCATGTTCGTGAAATATAAATCTGTCTGACACCTTTCTTAGGCTAATGCATTCCTCGCATTGATCACTGAGAAAGTGTTGGTTTGGTGGGTAGAGGAGTTTGGGGTTTGGTTTGGAGACTGTCTCACAGCACTTGTTAAAAGAATATGTAGGCTTTTGGGTGGGTTTGGAGAGGGACTGGTGCTAGTATGTGTGCAGATTGATTCCATTTTGGTGCTTTTGGGTAATCTGGAATCTCACAGATCTTCCTAAACCCAGTGGATTAGGTTTCTCACTTGATAGCATTAGTCAACTAGATTGAGAATAGTTGGAGTGGAAAGGTTATTGGGTTACCTCTTTATAGGCAAGAAACAAGTGGTACACTGTCTCCATAATTTGGAAGTTAAAAACTGAAGCAGAGAGCTGGCACAATAGTGGATGGGGGCAAACTTGCTCTGCTTTACTGCATTCCCCTCCTGACCCTCCTGCCATGGCACCTAGCCCCTGTGCTAAAAGCCTGCTTCCTGGTGTAGATCCAGTTCTGTGTACCTCTGAATATACACTGGGTGACTCATTCCCAGTGTGCTGGGCCTGTGGGCTGTGCTGGGACCTGGAGCTGATACTTGCTGATCTTCACTTTAGTGATTGGTTTTGTTATGTTTTTCTGTGTTGTACGTTTGCTGAGTTCTAATATGCAGAATGCCACATACTCTGAGCAGGATGGTGCATACCTGTAATCCCAGTACACTGGCAGGCTGAGGCAAGATCACAAGTTCTTTAGGGCAATTTAACAACTTAGTGAGATCCTGTCTCAAAATAAAAAAAAAGCTGAAGGTTTAGCGTGTTGTTAAAGCCCTAGATTTAATCCCTACGGCCACCAGAAAAAAAAAAAATGCCACATGTTCCTTGAGAGTACTTGGCCTTGGTGTTGGACCTCGGCAGCTGGAGTGTTTGAAGGTTGCTAGGGTAGCACTCTGTTCTTGGCTAGTTTTCAGCATCCTTTATGGTCCTTTGTTTATTCAAAGATTCACATCACAGACAAGATACTGCCTCACCTGCCCGGCCTAGAAGACCTTGATGTTCAGGCAACACCACTGGAGCTCAAGGCCATTGAGGTGTTGCGGCGCCATCGCACTTACCGCTGGCTGTCATCTGAACTTGAGACCGTGAAGCCTGCCAAGACCGTCAACTTTTAGTGGCCCTGCACAGCCCTTCATTTTGGTATCACTTGAGTTGTGTGGCTCTCATAAGCCTGTGTTCTTTAGAGGATCTTGTACAGAGTGCTAAGATCCTTCTATTAAAACATCTGAGGTTAGCTCCTGCAGCATTCTCTTTCTTGATTTGTAAAAGAAAAATTCCCAGCCATTTAGAACTTGAGCATAATTTTCTTTAAATACATGTGTATATATTTAGTGATGACACGTCATTTTTTTCTCTGAAACACTGAAGGGTTTGAATTTCCCTATCTGAGTCAAGCTACTTATAGCGTATGTTCTAGAAGACTAGCCCTCCCAAAGTCAAAATATTGTGATGATCCGAGGTGATGTATAGTTTTCTCCAATTTAAATGGAAAAATGTACAGTGTCTTTAACTAATCTGAATTTATTCATACTTTAAACGGTGCTACACATGAAGTATCATCAGAATATACAGTGACTATTTAAATTTAATGTCTGTGTAGCAGTAAAAGGCACATTTTAATTAATCTCCCCGCACAGTACTGTCCCTTCGTTTTGAACTCTTTGTCCTACCATTTTTGCCACTTTCTAAAGCAGTTTTGATCAAAACACTGTGAAGCCAGCTGTTGAGTGCTACCCAGCAGAAGGCAGACTCCTTCATTTCATTGTGTCCTCATCTGCATATTCAGTGAATCTGGCACCATGCAGTTTCGGACTCCTTCTCAAAGTTAAAATGACCACTAAAGTAAACATGTGGAATCGAGTCAGGACATTGAGGCAGCCATGACAGTGTAATGAAAGACATGAAAGAGGACTTCCAGAACTGCTTCAGAATGTGGCAGGGATGATGGAAGACATCTGTTTTAGGCAAGAGTGTTCTGTAAGAGATTAGTGGCTGTGTGTCTGTCACTGTATTTACCTTTTAAACTTGGACATTCACCATATTTTTTGATCTCACCTTTGTAGATGTGGATTCTCAGATCCTTACTATCTTGGAAGTGAGCTATCTAAGGCTTCCTGCCTATTCTGTTAGGACCAATGTAGATTATTCCAGGCACTTAGGTATAGAGAGATTCTTTTCCCTGTAAAACAGATGCTTCAACCTCTTTGTCAGTGATGCGAGTGCTTAGAGATCAGAACTTTTGGTTTAAGTTGTTACTTTGCATCCAAGATCTAGGAAACACTTTGTTTATTGTTGGCAAATCCCTCAGTACTGTATGATTAAACCTGTCCATAATCTGTGGCGAAGCCAACACATTGCTATCCTACGTACGTTCTCCACTGGATTTCAGCTCCCTGATCTGTAGAATGAGAAGGTCCCTAAAACCCTGTCTGGGCACAGTAACATACATGTTGGAAGTGAGTTCTGAACCTGCCCACTCTATATCTCCAAGATCTTTTGTCCTGGAGTGAGCAACAGTGTAGCCTGTGCATCTGTTGCATCAGCATGATAGCAGCTTTGTGAGTTTGTTGGGAAGGTCAGTGCCATATCCCAGGAATGCTGGAACAGAATCTGCAGTTCCTGGGTATCCAGGAGGCCCGTGTGCCCATGTGAGCGTGAGAAGCAGTGCTACTGAAAAGAGCTGCCGAAGGGCGTGTGTAGCCCATGCTAATGATCTGTGTTGCTGAGTGTTAGAACCTCAGGAAGCAGGGCCGGTGATTCTGTGTTTTTAGACATGCAGTTTATTCTTGTGCACACTAACATGTAAGAATCAGTGTACTGGGACGTGGAGCCCAACTCAGCTTCATGCATTTTTCTTCAGAATAGATATCTCTTTATTTTGGATAAGACCTTTGCTGGCCATAAGTAATCAGCAGATGCACAGAATGGGAGATTTGATTTGAAAACAAATAGTAGAGCTATGGGGAATAGTATCATTTCCTAAACATTTTTCTTATCTCTGAATTGTATCATAATCAACACTCTGTTTTCTTTCTCCAAAACTAATTCAGCCAGCATATATTTTCTTTCTTATCACATGTAATGTCCCATTTTATAACAGGTATTTTATTGTGCCCCTTTTTTTACCTGAAAGGAAAATTATGGTTACATATGTAATCACCTACTTATGCAATCAAAATGAAAGGAAAGTAGTACACAATGAGATGACCTATATGTAGGTGTGTGGACACAACGACATGGAGGGCACAGTGAGGTTTCAGTTGCTCGCATCTGCGTGGGCCAGTCTCCTGCATGCCATAGCAACAGTTGCAGATGGCTTTGGTGCTGGAGTTGGTGATGTGGCCTCTCAATGTTGTGAATGGTGTTGGTGCCATACTGGCAGTTGAAATAGTAAATTACTTCTCATAAAGTTTAGAAAAGCACTATAATTGTCTTAGTCATTCTCTTATTACTGTGGCACACACAGGACACCCACAGCTTAAAGGCAGAGAGATTTATTTTGGCTCACGCTTACAGTCCATGTTTGGCTGGCTTTCCAAGGGAGAACATGGTGTGGTAGAAGGGCCAGGAAGGAAGAAGCTGCTCACTTAGTGGTCCGGAAACTGAAGGAGAAGGGAAGGGCCCAAAGGAAAAGTCACCCTTCTAGTTTATGTCCCAGTGACCTACTTCTTGCATCCAGACTCCACCTTAACAGCAAGTTAGGTGTGTCATCCCCATGACTTAGTCACCTCCCAAAGGCTCCATTTGTAAGCACAAGAGGCCTTTGGGGACAGTTTTTATTTAAACCACACCAATAACCCTCCCTAGATTTACATGATGATTGCATTCTTAGAAAACTAGCTTGTATTAAACTCATCAAAGATCCCTTATATTTATAAAATGTGGATTCTAAGTTTACATGACCATCAGTTGGTTTTAAAAAGCTCTGTGCAGTGTTTCACTTCTTCATTTCCATATTCTGCACCATATATGTTACCATTCCTGGTTCCCACCCACCACATGTGAAACAAAGCTCTTCAAAAGTGCATATTCCAGTACCTGCTTACAGTGAGGATGTCAGCTGCTAATGTTACTATCATGAATGGCCTTGTGCGAGATGATAGGCCTATAAGGAGGAACATGACAAGCATAACTCATTCCCACTGACTTGAACCACCAGTGGTATATGCATGACTGTCCCATCAGAGAATTTGTGCCACCCAGTTGGACTGTCTGAGGCTACCAAGTGGGGCAGTCAGCATAGGCCACCTTTTTATCAGAGCTGCTTAGTACATACAGAATAAAACATACAAATTGCTATCCCATCACGAACATGTTAATGGCAGGAAACTGATAGAAACAGTCATTATTATATCTCAGTGTAGACTTTAGATTTCCTAGAGGGCAGTTAATTATAGTGAAATTTTCAAATTATGTAATTTATTGAAGTAATAAAATTAATATTTAAACTTCTAAAAACCACAAGTTTGATTATTTATGAATCTAGTACATTTTGCAATTGCTTCTAAGAAGTTATCATGAGTTACTTAAATTTTTTAAAGATGTTTTAAACTGCACTTTTATTTCATTTTAATTTTTTGCAAAATGTGAAACCTATTTACCTTTATTCTTTGCTTAATCTTACCAGTCATCTAGCAGGACTTAATAGATGCCTTTCCAAGAGACATAGACTAAGATGTGTTTATATAACTTCAGTAAACTTCAGCACAGTAGTAATGAGAGATGCGGAATTCTTTGGTATGGGTCAAAACAACAAGGAAGGAAGTCATAGGAAAGAATAAATTGAAACTGTTACAACTGAGAAACTACTTGTTATATTTTACTGTGATGTCACTTTCATTTTCAGATAAGCATGATAGCATAAGTCAAGCTCAATAAATTAGAAATCTTCATCTTTAAATTTACCTTGACTTTGAATCATTACCATATTAAAAACCAGAACAGTTAGATAAACATATAGGAAAGGGTACTATTAAACCACTTGCTGGAGTTGGTTGCTGGATGCATTGACTTGTTTTGTAGAAAAGAAATGGTGCATCTCAGTTTGCTTACAAGCTAGGAGATCACTTTGAATTCTGCATTTCCTAACTGCAAACAGAATATGGCACAAAGGATATAAATAAACTGGTTTTTAAGCTGAGAGCCAGCCCCAACAATAGTACGCTATTTTAAAAGACCTAAGGCAATGAATTCCATTTCCAGTGGAAGAAAAGAACTATACAAACAAGCTAAACTACACTTTTAAATTTAACTAGTTTTTTGAAGTTTTATAATCCTTAAAGACTCTAGTAAAGTCTTTAAGTAAATGAATTAATTGTCTAGGTAGTGATCTTAAAAGCTAACAATGATTATAAACTTATTAACATGCCTAACCTTTTCAACTTAATTTTTAAGTTCTAGTTTAATGTATATTTTACTTTGGAATAGGATAAATCTGTTAGACTCTCAAATCCAGATTTCTTGCATGTTACAAATACTTTAAATAATATTCTGGGATACATATTGGGAGATTCTTTTCATGATAAAGAGGAATGAATGGAGCTTCTGTTTGGAGGGGCTGTTCACACAGGGGTGTCAGGCACACCCTCCCTGAGCTACATTCACAGCTCGCACCCTCTGGATTCAAGCTGTACAAAACCTCCTCCTCACACCTGGCTTGACCCTGCAATCCTGCACTTCCAGCCAGTTCCCATTGCATTTCCATATATTATTACACTTAGCATTAAACCTATGTACCTTGAAAAATCTCTTTGCCTTCTGATTCTACTCTGAATTCCTTCCACAAAGGTGAGGTGCCTTGCTATATATCTAGGCCTTCTCGTATATATCCCTCAGCTTTGCTAGACCTTTATTAAACTCTTTATCCTAAAAGCAAGTACAAGTTGTATCCTGGAAGCTTGTATATGAAAATGCCTGCAAAGAGCAGAGAGTAGTATAAGGAAGAGCTCAGATGCTGAAAGTTCAGGGCAAACTCCATTGAAAATGAATTTTTAAAGCTGCATTTTGAAGGTAACAAGTGAACTTTGTATGTTTTGTGTGTGTGTGTATGTGTGTGTGGAGTAGCTGTCATTCCTGAAAGGCAGGGAGAGACCTCTGTTTTATAAATGATGAAAACAAAGACTTAGAGAAGATAAATTATGTCAAAGAGCCAAGTTCATTTTCTGGCCTAGATCTGTCTCTACAAAACTCATGTCTAGTTCCAGCAAGGAGGAAGCTCAGAAGAAAAGCTTTACCTCCTTTTCTCCTCCTCTTCCTCCTGCTAAGTTTTTTTTTCTTTCAGTATAAGGGATTGAACCCAGGGCCTTCACACTGACCTACATCTCAAGTCTTTTTCAAATTCGAGAGCTTCTCACCGAGTTGCTAAATTGTGTCTGGACTCAGACTTGTAATTCTCCTGCCTCATCCTCCCAGAGTGCTGGAGTTCCAGGTGGACACTAGCACACCCAGCTCAGACTTGCATTTCTGCCAGGTTTCAGTGAAGGGGAGTTGGGATGGGCTGGAAAATATGCTGGAGAAAGCTTTCCTGTGCAGGGAAGATCCAAGAGAGGATGCGGTAAGAGTCCTCAGTTGTTGTGACAGTTGAAAGTGTCAAAGAAAGACAAGCCCAGATTTAGTGAAGAGATTTTTGTTTGACAAGATTACTGGTGGAGAGATGGGAAGGATTGTTTTGGTGCAGGAGGGAAGACAGAATGAGCCGAGAGGATTGTGAGTTTAAGACCAGCCTGTCTCAGGCATCCTGTCCAAAGAGAGATCATGATGCTTAACATTAGGAAGAAGCCTGTCTCAAGTTTTGTCAAGCTGAGGGAAATATTACAGCCACTGTCTTGATCAGAGGTACCAAAGTTTTAAGTCCCTCAGGGTGAGGAAACCGTAATCCCAGCAGAGGAAGGACCACCATCATGCTTTCCCCTCAAGTACCTGAAGAACAGTGTGTATTCAAATGACACACTTTGCCTATTACAGTGAAAGGAACAAAGACAGCAGTGTACAGTACCTTTGTAATCATCTATTAGGGCTAGGCCCAAAATTGTCCCTGCACAGCACAGTGAGATCTAAGGTCATCTGGTGTGCACATTTGTCCTAAGTGGCCTGCAAACACCACAGTGTCATTCTGAACCCAGCTTGCCACAGCCGGCCACCCACTGATCACAAAGTAAGACCATTTCCTGGAACATTTTTAAGCTCTAACCACAGTAACCACATGAAAGTAAGACTTGACTGAGATTAAAAATTTCTTTCTTTAATTTATTTTGAAAATATATGATTAAATCCCCTGGAACAATAGTGTGCTTCCAAGAAAACACCGAAGAGAACAAAGAATATGTTTTGCAACAGTGAAGCCATTCCAAGGTGACTTCTAAGATGAACTGTGGCAGATGATCACCATGGAAACAGCAAAGCTAATCACTGATTCCCTAAGCTGGCAAGTCATTGTCACATGCACAAAAAACGCAAGTTGTGACTTGTATACTACCACCTAACCTCTTATCCGCCCTCTCCCACAAGGATGTACTTACCTTTGAAATAAAGTCTGCTTTTGCTTTCACAATGCTTTTCTTTATCTTGACCGAATGGTATGTGGCAAAATACCTGAGTCCAGAGCTCTTTGAATATATCTTATTCTGATTCGTGCAGCTCATAATCAAATACCTTGAACTAAAGATTGCTAGGTATGCTATGTGCTAGGCACTGATAAACTTCTAAGACACTGGTTCAGTTGCTTGCATTGACTGCTGTAAAGTTTTCTATTTGGTTCAGTTTAGCTGGATTCTCATGACATTTTTGATGATGCAAGGTGCTGAAGATTCAAAGATAATAAAAAAATTGACAGAACTCAAAAGAAGACCTCCTGATTTGTTTTTTTGCCCTTGGTTTTTGTTGATTCAAAGCAGATGAATTACTAAGACACAGACCCTCAGACTATGTTTTCCTGGTTTGGATGAGGGCCAGAACGGTTTCTGAGTCACTTTCTCTTTCCTGGAACAAAATACACAATACCCACAATTTAAAAGAGACATTTTGGTTCATTTTATTATTATCATCATCATCATCATCATTATTATTGAAATAGGGTCTTGCTGTGTATCCCACACTGTCCTCAAACTCTCCGCAATCCTGATTACACATGTGCATCGCCATGCCCAGCTGCTTCACTCTCAGAAGTTATAACCACGTTTTCAGGCCCACACACAAAACCCAGCTGGCCGAGGAGCACAGCAGAGGAAAGCTGCTTACGGTGGGGAAGGGGGCTGTAGGCAGGGAGTGAAGGCATAAGCAAGAGCCTCTGTAGGTTTTCCAGATAATCCTGACAGGAAGGAGTAACACTCGACTAGAAAAGTTCCCTTGGGATAGTTTCAAGGACAAGGGTAGAGAAAAAGAAAACCAGGTAAAATAAAGACACAAGATAGCACAGCTGGCACTGGAGACTTACCAGAGAGGAAGAGCTAGCGGGCAAAACACAGAAGCCAAGTGCACTAAGCCATGAGAGCTGTCTATGCCCGCCTCCAGTAACATGTAGGGAGGCCGCAGGTGCGGAGGGAGGGGGGCTGGCTAACTTTAAAGCTCTTACTCAGAGTATACATATACTGAATATATATTCAACCTGGGTCACTAAGTTAGTACAATAGTACCCAAACACGCTTTACCAACTCTAAGGTGATCTTTTATCAGTCCCCTTCTAACCAGGAAGCACAGAAGGGAAGAGCCAGACAGGAAGAGATAGTCTTCAAGGTCACTCCCCCAGTGACAGCTGCAATGGACCAGACCCCGTCTCCTAACAGCAAGCCTGCTATGTCACTCCATGATTCAATCACCTTCTGAAATCTCCACCTACAAGTGCATGAGGCCTTTGGGGGACAATTGGGGATCCAAATCATAACTGTGACAAACGCCATTCTGTAGGTGGCTTGAATACGACAACCAGTTCTGCAAAATACTTCCTTGTACACTCTGCCCACGTTGCTGATAGGTAGTAGAGAATCTACCATAGTTACTATATTGCATATTGTTATCTTCTAAATAGTGGCTAAGACTACTAGCTTTAGGCTTGCAAAGTCAATCCAACAATACAAACTTTAGGTTGTTTCTTTACTTTGGTTGCTATCATCTCAGTCTGTGCTCCTCCGAATAAGCTTATGGGAGGTGGGAGGGTAGTTAGAGGAGTGTTGTTCTTTACTCCCAGCCTATGCATCAGCTAGCTTATGGTGCGTGTGTGGCTTCCATCCTAGTTCTCCCTCCAGCCAGCAGGCCTTTGCTGGGTTACAGAGGGAGGAGGGGGAGTCATGGACAACTAATGATTCAAATACACTTATTTAAAATACAGAAACCTTCAGTATGGACCACAAACAAGAGTCAACTATATGCTGAAGTCCACTTTAAATATAAAGACACATATAGATTGAAAGTGCAGGAATAGAGAAAGATATTCTATGCTAACACCTATCAAAAGAAAGTGGAAATTTCATACAGAACAAACTTCAGAGCAAGAAATAGTCTTGGAGATAATTAGAAAGGAGTCAGTAGTCCAAGAAGACATAAAAATCCTTAATATGTGTGCACCTAATAACAGCACCAAAATATGTGAACTGACACAGCACTGGAAAGAGAAACAAATGAACCAACTATTGTATTTGGGAATTTCAGTGCCACTCTATCAGTCATGGACGGATGCAGCAGGCTAATGGTCAGGACACAGCTGAACTCCACAACAGCATGCACCAACTGGATAAAATTGGGCACGTCTAGATTACATTCTGTTCTGTTCAAGAACAGAAGATATGTGGAGTGATCAAGATACATGGTGAATGTTTAAATCTGGAACAAATTAGACTAAAAGTTACATTGCCGTTCACTCCCTTCAAAATACTCTAGTTCAAAAACACCCCATCACTCTTGTCTCCTTTCGGAGACAAGATGGGATTTAAAAATATGATGAACGCTGTTGCCGAGTGCTATCCAACAGAAAGGCAGGCTCGTAACAGCACCACCACGTCTCCTCATCCATTTTGTTCACCACATTTGGCACCGTGCAATTTTTGGATCTTCCAGCAAGGTTAAAATGACCATGAAAGGGAAATGTTTTGAACGGACTAAAGTGAATCGGGCAGTGCAGCTAAAGATCTCACCTAAATGTATCTTTTACTAAATGTATCTTTTACTATATGTATCTTTTACTATATCTTGCACTAAATGTATCTTTTACTATAATGGAGTTTTAAAATTTAAACATTCACTGTGGGTTTGATTATACCTCATATGTATTCTCCCCAAGCTCCATGGAATATTCATTAAGATATACCACATCTAAGCAGTAAAACACAGCTTCACGCATTTAAAATGGAAATCATACAATATGTGCCCTTACAACACCATGAAGTTAAACCACAAAGCCATCAGCAAGATCCAAATAGTACACAGGTATTAAACAACATGCTTCTAAATAACACATACATCAAAGAAAAAATTTCCAGAGAAGCTTAATGACTGCTTTAAATGAAAATGAAACTACAATAAAACCTTGGTTTATAAGCATCATTCATTCTGGAAATCTGCTTATAATCCAAAGTCCTTGTATATCAACGTGAGTTTTCCCATCAGAAATAATGGAAACTCAGGTGATTTGTTCCACAACCCAAAAATATTTATATAAAATGATTATAATACTTAATGGAATACAAAATAATAAGGCAAATATAAAGAAAAATAAGCAAATTAACCTACACTTACCTTTGAAATCTTTTGTGGCTGGTTTAAGGGACATGAGAGGAGGGTTATTTTGTAGGGTGGCTTTCACTGTTACTAATGGAATCACTTGCTGTCTCTAGCTTAGTGGCATCTTTTTCTTTTCATGCTCTAACAAGGAACTTTAACCAGGAAGCTGTCTAATGACACTAGCTTTTGCCTTCTTTTGAGGATTTTGTGGAAATGTGACAGTGCATTGTCGTTAAACAGATTCATGACTCACCCTGCTACAGCCTTTTTCGTGTGGTGCTTTTCTATAATTTTGCACTGTTTCCTGCATTTCACACATCTCTCTAATCTCATGGAGAGAGAGGGATTCCTTCGGCCTTTTTCTCCTCTCAAGACGAGATCTCTTTCTTGACCTCTTTCTGTTGGGAGCTGATTACCCATAATCCCACAGCAAGGGAGAGAAGGGAGAAGAACCACTGGGCCAGTTGTGATCTGGTGACACTGGGCATCATGTGTGTTAGCAGGATTCTCTCAGAGAGGTGGGAACACCGGGCTTTTCCAGGAAGTAGCTTTTATCTGTGTGCCAGCACCAGGCTCAGTGGGTTAGTGCTGAAATGACCAGCCCCCCAAAATGGCAGGGTTTTGCCTTTTATACAATTTTTGTGTCTTTGTCTCCCATGAATGGTAAGACACTAACTTAACACTACTATGGATGGGTGCAATCTGTGTTACAGAGCCGCACAGAAACTACACATGCATATCTAGTAACTGAGCTATGCTGTCTTTCTTGATTCTGAGAACGCGCCCCTCTCCCTGCATTCCTTTGGGAATGGCCTGGTCACTCCTCTGAAGAAGGGTCCTGCAATAGTACTACTTGTATCGCAAGACATTTTTCATTTATCAAGTTAAAAATTATCAGAAATATTTGTTTATTAGAAATGTTAACTTGTGGAACATTTGTAGAACAAGTTACTCACAACCCAAGGTTTCACTGCGTATCTTACCAAATTTGTGGGATGCACTCACAGATGCAGTACTTAGAAGATATTGTGCTTCTCAACTGTTTGCAGTTTCTCTGTTTGAATGTTCACTTTGTATGCTTTGATACTGTGACTTGAGCAACTATCTCTAAGACGAAAATGTATAATCTATTAACTGGTGATTTCTTACTGTTTTTTTTTTTTTTTTTTTTTTTTTTTTTGTAGTTCTGTATTAGTTGTACCCTTACACCGCTTTGTTTTGTTTTTTCTTTTTCCTTTTAAATAAAATTTTAAAAAAAAGAAGATATTGTGCTTCTAAGCGCATCTAAATCCAAAATGTCCCCCAAAAGTATCCTGCGTTCAGGAATGAAACTTTGAGAAGGCGACTGGATCACAGGAGCTCTGCATTTATCTGGGAATTAATTTTTTGATGAACTCATAGGTGAATGTGCTCTCAGGGAGTGGGCTGTGGTGGTAGGAAGGCGGTCCCTGGGTGTGTGTCTGGCAGAGTGTACTTCTGCCCCTGATTCCTGTTTTCTTACTTTCTCCTTCCTGGCTGGCACGAGGTGGGCAGCTCTCCCCTACCATATGCTTCCATCCTGCCATTTATGCATTGAGGCCAGTCATCCAGGGCCTGTACTCACTAAAATCACTACCGAAAATAAACCTCTCCTCTTTTAAGTTGCAGATATTGGGTATTTTGTCTCAGAGACAGGAAAATCATAAATACAGAAATTTATATAGCACTGGCAATTTTTTTCACAACATACTTTTTTTTTTAAGAAACAAAAAAGGGCCAGCGATATAGCTCAGTGGCACAGCACCTGGCTGGCAAGTGAGTTCAATTCCCAGTGCCAAGAATAATAAAAATAAAAATGAA